CTTTTATTTCATCTTTAGACAGAAACATGAGAATGGCATTTCTTGGAATAGGTTCCGATTACTTGGCAGACTTGGCTGAGACTTGTATGGTAACTCTTGCGGAATCACCAAGGGCGATAGAGGTGCAGATTGAGAACAGCTTGAACTGCAATTTTACATTGCTATTATATTCAGAATAAAACCCAGAATAAAACAGGAAAAGGGGGAATTGTTTCTGTTTCTGAAGGGAACTGAAACCTACTTGGGCTTGGTGTGGTAGGATCTGCCTTTCTTAGAGTTGTGTTTTATTCTATGCAAATAATTCATATTTATTGTGTATTGGTGAAATGTTTGTACTTATGAATGGTGGGGTCTTTTTGGAATGAATGGCTTCTATACTACAGGGCCCCGTAAGAGAAATGCGGCCACCCATTGTGCCCCATGTTAACATCAAATTGACTCTGAGGTTACATGAGGAAGGCCTTTTCGGTAGTTCTACAATCTGCAGTGTGCAGGCAGGTAAGAATACCTAAGTGAGCCTTTTAACAGTGCCGCTTGCCCTTTGGGACATTTTCCAGTGTCCAAGCGGTGGAAATTGTGCAGAGCTTCAGACGCCTTCAAAGAGGTATCTGTTTACTCAAGTAATCCCTCACTTGTAATTTCACCACTCTCTTTTACTGTTTTGCAATGTCTTTTTTATTTTACACTGTTTTTACATTGGTTTCTATATTGTGATTTCTGTCAACTGATTTGAGGATGCCAGTTGGTATAGAAGTTATTTAACTAAATCAAAGAAACCTCTCTGTGATCAAAGGATATCAAGTAGTATACAAGTAGTTTAAAGCAGCTTCCTGGGGTCATAAAACATTTCACCCCTCCAAAATAATTGATAAAATGTCTCCCTCAATTTGCTGGCTCCATGTAAAAAGGTGAATGGGTTAGGGGTGGAGCAGACATGTCTTCTCAACCCTAGATTGGTGACCATTTACTTACACTAGAAGAACACAGAAGACCCTAAACTCAGTCCATCATTTCCAGTCAAAAGGTCAGGTAGCAGGTGATGGAAAAGACCCCTGCCTGAGTCCACTGCCAGTTACAGAAGTAGATGCCAAGCTAGACCTAGGTTTGGACAGCTTCTTGCATGGAATGCAGTAAGGCTTGCTGACTCCATTAGGTCAGGTGATACACCTCCACCGTTAAGAATCAAACCTGCTCTTATTTGTATCTGCTTCTTGGTTATTCTATAGCATACAGCCCCAACATGGCAGTACAACACATCTCTGTCAACCTGTGCTAGCAGATGAGCCTGCTGGGGATGATGGGTTGTAGTATTGCATGCCTGAAGAGTGCCAGGTTGGGGAATGCTGAGGTGGACAGTGTGATACAGTGGGGGCTCAGAGGGATGGAGTGCTGGACACTGGCCGAAGGTCATAGCACAAAGCATGCAGAGAGGTGGCTTTAAATGTCAAGACCACTTTCTCCCTAAGTTAGGTTCACATATCATTGTGTCATTTTATTGTTACACACTAAAAACTAAGGGAGAAATCTTAGAACACAATGTGTTCTGAGGGGGGTAACTTGTTCAAACCAAAAATTGAGAAAGAACAGCTTTCTTCTTATTTTCACTCTGTCCTCCAGTCATTTTCATGCTCATTTGACTCTAACCTCTTTTTGGTTCTGTCCCAGATCCATCTTCACATATCTCGCAAAACAGATATGGGGCTTAACTGAACAGTATTTCCTTTCTCCTTTAGGGAGATAAAAATGGCAACGGGAACAAAGTGTATTCTCTTCTTTTTCATTTGTAGTTGCAGTTTCTGGCTTGGTGTCGTACGTACTTAGTGGAGCCGCACTGCATGGAGGGAGAGTTGTGATTCTCTTATTTCAAACACAAAGCTGTGAACCCTTTGCATTCTCTGCTTGAAAATTGCATAGGTTTCTTTCTGTCTCTTTTTGTAAGTTCCTTATGAATACTGCCAGACTTTTCAGAAGAAGAAAAGTACAGCAGTAGAAACCATAGAGAGATAATGTAATCTGAGACTAAGGTTAGATTCCTGTATAAAAAGAAGAAACAACCCAGGAAACTCCACAAATAGTAATACTTCTATTGGAAATGTCTATTAGCTTAGAAGGACAATCAAATCACACAGGAGAGACCCTGTTCCTGCATATGACAGCTCACGTTTTTCACCACATATATTTTATGATCTGGCTCGCTATGATATAACCTTGTTTTGCTGAAGAAAATCCTAAATCCCCTTTCCTCCAATTTCCCTCTCAGCTTAGCATTCACAATTATTTAAATAACTGACTGCCACATTTAATGGATATGTGCCTGCACCCAAATGGTTCCTGGGATGCCTTCTCAAAATAATTGATAGTCACAGTGGTGGCTGGAACAGTCTCCGTGTACTTATACAAACCACATCTGAACATTAAGCCACGGGCCAATGCATTATTGATAGTCAGCCAGCAAGTATTAGCTTTCAATCACAGGCATTCCACTTTTCACCCTCACCACTGATTGCATGGTGCTGAAGTCACACCTGGGGGATGGGAACACTCCCAGCACAAAATTTAAGATGGTGCTATAAACAGCATTCGTGTTTTTTAAAAACCTTGATTAGTGTTTTTCCAAAGAAAAACTGAACAGCTGTGAATGCTGCTGTTGGTGTGATTTTTTCTAATATCTTAAATACTACTTTGCTCGTGACAGAAGGATACGCACAGTAAGAAAAGGGCAAAGGGGAGACCTGGCTTGAGTGCCAACAGCAGGCCCTCACGTGAGCCCTGTTCTCTAGCAGTAACTATTCCAAGCAGAGTGCATTTTGCCTTTCAGTCATTCCCAGCCCTTGGCAACTGCCTTCTTCATACCACCATCCAAGAACTGTGCTAGCCCACAACAGAAGCAGACCCTAGCTGCAAAAAGGGAGAAGTGACTCCTTGGCAATGGTGGTGGTCTTATAGTCTTGGGTTGTTGGGGTTAAAATAACACTGTAGGACTTGCTGTATCGTGCTGGAGAGATTTCAGAAGCTTCAGCTGGTTTTGGTGAGCCAATGGCGGGAGTCAGAAGGAGCAATTTCTGGGGGGAAGAATGTGGGTAGATCCCCCACTCCCACGTTAACATGTCTTAACAATGAGATTCTAACCAAGGTTACCTAGAAAGCAAACCACTTTGATTTTACTGGGATTTATTTCCAAGTAAGTGGAGTCAGGATTACAGTGTTACAGTGTTGTTAAGCTTTCAACCTTAGCCACATGGGTATCCGGGGGGTACTGAACTCTGTGAACCTTAATTTTAAGTAGTTATGTACAAGTTCAAAATATTAGACTTCGATTTTGTACATGGTTTTTTGAAGTAAGTGCTAATGAAATAAATATTTTCTTTCCCATAAATATATTGTGACTATAATGTAAATATAAATGTACATTTAGCACAGTAGGAGTAATTTTATGTTGTTCAGGAACTGACAGTGTAGCTAAAGTGTGTGTGTGCGTGCATGTGTGTACACGCACTCCAACTGTACCTTGCCTAATGACCTCAACAAAAGATGAAGATGGATTTCCTTACAAGCACAGGACATTCTACACCCATAAGAACACATTAAATGCTTTTAAAAGTACAGGCGTATACAGGAACACGTTGCATTTATTACATTTATTTCATTTTGATAGACACTGTATGTTAGGCTTTAAGCTTAAGGAATCTCTGAAAGAGAACTGGTAGCCTGCTAGGCCAAAAAATAGGATATGGAAGTCATGTGGATGCCTCGGATGTGTCTGTCTACAGTTTTTTAAACATTGGGAGCACAGAAGGGTGACCAGGATTTGATCCATGAGATGTAGAAGAGGAACTTGTCCCCTGTCCCCTGTGGTGTTATCTCAGTGCAAAACTGGGGTAGCAGCTTCCTTCTCAGCACCAATAGCGTTAGGGGACTATTAGTACCCTGGACTGGAGAAACTCCTGGGATTCAACTCCAGTCCACCATGCACCACAATCCTGATCCTGACTTCCTGTCTCCCTCATCTATGCTTGCTATTTCAAAAACAAGGCGGACACATTAAATGCTTTCATGCAATTAATGTGTTATCTACTTTGGCCAAATTTATAATGATGAGATGCAAGACCATTGCAGGCATTTGACATTCATGTTCCACATGGAACAGCTCAAGCATTTCCAAGAACGCAGCCATGCTAAGGAAGTCCATGTGACCCAGCACCCTCTTGGTTACAGATGTCACCTTCTGGTGGTGCTTTACATAAGCACAAGAGCATAATTTCTCACACAAATAACTGCCAGGACATGAAGAAGCTCCAGGTGACAGGTCAGTATTAGCTAAGACCCTACATTTCATGCAGGTTTCCTCCTTCCCTTAAGGTTTAAGGGGAAAAAAAGGAACATAGGCCCTCTTCTTGTTAGGATTTTAAACAATAAAGCAATTGTCCTAAAAGCATGCGTACAATGTAACTGATGGTCAGTAAAGAGCACTGGGGTAGCACTGGGGTAGCACTGGGGTAGCTTGGAGCACT